GCTGTAGTTGAGACATGCTACAGGTATTGAGACACAGTGTTCTGCTGTAGGTGAGACATGCTGCAGGTATTGAGACACAGTGTCCTGCTGTCGTGAGACATGCTACAGGTATTGAGACACAGTGTGCTGCTGTAGGTGAGACCTGCTACTGGTATTGAGACACAGTGTTCTGCTGTAGGTGAGACATGCTACAGGTATTGAGACACAGTGTGCTGCTTTTGGTGAGACATGCTACTGGTATTGAGACACAGTGTGCTGCTGTAGGTGAGACATGCTACAGGTATTGAGACACAGTGGGCTGCTGTTGTGAGACATGCGGCAGGTATTGAGACACAGTGTTCTGCTGTAGGTGAGACCTGCTGCAGGTATTGAGACACAGTTGGCTGCTGTAGTGAGACATGCTGCAGGTATTGAGACACAGTGTGCTGCTGTAGGTGAGACCTGCTACTGGTATTGACACAGTGTCCTGCTGTAGGTGAGCCATGCTGCAGGTATTGAGACACAGTGTTCTGCTGTAGGTGAGACATGCTGCAGGTATTGAGACACAGTGTTCTGCTGTAGGTGAGACATGCAGCAGGTATTGAGACACAGTGTGCTGCTGTAGTGAGACATGCTGCAGGTATTGAGACACAGTGTGCTGCTGTAGTGAGACATGCTACAGGTATTGAGACACAATGTGCTTCTGTAGGTGAGACATGCTACAGGTATTGAGACACAGTGTGCTGCTCTAGGTGAGACATGCTACAGGTATTTGAGACACAGTGTGCTGCTGTAGTGAGACATGCTCCAGGTATTGAGACACAGTGTGCTGCTGTAGGTGAGACCTGCTACTGGTATTGAGACACTGTGTGCTGCTGTAGTGAGACATGCTGCAGGTATTGAGACACAGTGTTCTGCTGTAGGTGAGACATGCAGCAGGTATTGAGACACAGTGTCCTGCTGTAGTGAGACATGCTGCAGGTATTTGAGACACTGGGTGCTGCTGTAGTGAGACATGCTACAGGTATTGAGACACAATGTGCTTCTGTAGGTGAGACATGCTACAGGTATTGAGACACAGTGTGCTGCTCTAGGTGAGACATGCTACAGGTATTTGAGACACAGTGTGCTGCTGTAGTGAGACATGCTCCAGGTATTGAGACACAGTGTGCTGCTGTAGGTGAGACCTGCTACTGGTATTGAGACACTGTGTGCTGCTGTAGTGAGACATGCTCCAGGTATTGAGACACAGTGTGCTGCTGTAGGTGAGACATGCTACAGGTATTTGAGACACAGTGTGCTGCTGTAGTGAGACATGCTGCAGGTATTGAGACACAGTGTCCTGCTGTTGGTGAGATATGCTGCAGGTATTGAGACACAGTGGGCTGCTGTAGTGAGACATGCTCCAGGTATTGAGACACAGTGTGCTGCTGTAGGTGAGACCTGCTACTGGTATTGAGAGACAGTGTTCTGCTGTAGGTGAGACATGCTACAGGTATTGAGACACAGTGTGCTGCTGTTGGTGAGCCATGCTGCAGGTATTGAGACACAGTGTACTGCTGTAGTGAGACATGCTGCAGGTATTGAGACACAGTGTTCTGCTGTAGGTGAGACATGCTAGAGCTATTGAGACACAGTGTGCTGCTGTAGTGAAACATGCTACAGGTATTGAGACACAGTGCTCTGCTGTAGGTGAGACATGCGGCAGGTATTGAGACACAGTGTGCTGCTGTAGTGAAACAAGCTTCAGGTATTGAGACACAGTGTCCTGCTATAGGTGAGACATGCTGCAAGTATTGAGACACAGTGTTCTGCTGTAGGTGAGACATGCTGCAGGTATTGAGACACAGTGTTCTGCTGTAGTGAGACATGCGGCAGGTATTGAGACACAGTGTTCTGCTGTAGGTGAGACCTGCTACAGGTATTGAGACACAGTTGGCTGCTGTAGTGAGACATGCTGCAGGTATTGAGACACAGTGTGCTGCTGTAGGTGAGACCTGCTACTGGTATTGACACACTGTCCTGCTGTAGGTGAGCCATGCTGCAGGTATTGAGACACAGTGTTCTGCTGTAGGTGAGACTCGCTGCAGGTATTGAGACACAGTGTTCTGCTGTAGGTGAGACATGCAGCAGGTATTGAGACACAGTGTGCTGCTGTAGTGAGACATGCGGCAGGTATTGAGACACAGTGTGCTGCTGTAGTGAGACATGCGGCAGGTATTGAGACACAGTGTTCTGCTGTAGTTGAGACATGCTAGAGGTATTGAGACACAATGTGCTTCTGTAGGTGAGACAGGCTACAGGTATTGAGACACAGTGGGCTGCTGTAGTGAGACATGCTCCAGGTATTGAGACACAGTGTGCTGCTGTAGGTGGGACCTGCTACTGGCATTGAGAGACAGTGTTCTGCTGTAGGTGAGACATGCTACAGGTATTGAGACACAGTGTGCTGCTGTTGGTGAGCCATGCTGCAGGTATTGAGACACAGTGTACTGCTGTAGTGAGACATGCTGCAGGTATTGAGACACAGTGTTCTGCTGTAGGTGAGACATGCTAGAGCTATTGAGACACAGTGTGCTGCTGTAGTGAAACATGCTACAGGTATTGAGACACAGTGCTCTGCTGTAGGTGAGACATGCTGCAGGTATTGAGACACAGTGTGCTGCTGTAGTGAAACAAGCTTCAGGTATTGAGACACAGTGTCCTGCTATAGGTGAGACATGCTGCAAGTATTGAGACACAGTGTTCTGCTGTAGTGAGACATGCGGCAGGTATTGAGACACAATGTGCTTCTGTAGGTGAGCCATGCTGCAGGTATTGAGACACAGTGTTCTGCTGTAGGTGAGCCATGCTACAGGTATTGAGACACAGTGGGCTGCTGTAGGTGAGACATGCAGCAGGTATTGAGACACAGTGTTCTGCTGTAGGTGAGACATGCTGCAGGTATTGAGACACAGTGTCCTGCTGTAGGTGAGACATGCTACAGGTATTGAGACACAGTGTCCTGCTGTCGTGAGACATGCGGCAGGGATTGAAACACAGTGTTCTGCTGTAGGTGAGACATGCTAGAGGTATTGAGACAGAGTGGGCTGCTGTAGTGAGACATGCTACAGGTATTGAGACACAGTGTTCTGCTGTAGGTGTGCCATGCTGCAGGTATTGAGACACAGTGTCCTGCTGTAGTGAGACCTGCTACAGGTATTGAGACACAGTGTCCTGCTGTAGGTGAGACATGCTGCAGGTATTTAGACACAATGTGCTTCTGTAGGTGAGACATGCTACAGGTATTGAGACACAGTGTGCTGCTGTAGGTGAGACATGCTACAGGTATTGAGACACAGTGTCCTGTTGTTGTTGAGCTCAAAGTAGGATTGAACCTACCTCACATTTGCTTAACATAGGTCATTATTACAAGTATGTTTCTCTGAAGACTAAGGGCCTAACGTCACTCACTTTGATGTTGATAGTTATGCTCTAGACAAATAATTTTGTGCAGAATAGCATTAAATTAAGAATAAAATGTTTCAACTGGGAAACTATGAATTTGGCACAGCTTGTTCATAAAAAATGGGTGTCGAACAAGTGACAGGTGTGATTGTCATTTATATCTCTTTGTTAGAATGAAACTTTCCAGTAAAAATCTTTAGATTGAAATTGTTTATTATGTCTTACATATCTAACATGCTTAATCCAACTTAACTGGTTGAAGTTCATGACAAACTGTTTCTACTGAGCCAAAACTCCACACGCGCACCACAGTTAAACTTCAACCAAGTGAACTTTGACCTATGTGTTTGTCAACCTTCTACAGTCATAAAATGAAGTGTGATAAAATGAAGTCTTTTGTGTCATGAGGGGTTTTGTTGAAGCAGCATGGATAATTCGAGTCTAAAGTTTCAAGATGGTCTGTCTATTAAAGCCTTTATTATACCCCAGCTTACGAAGTAAAGGGGATATATAGTGTTCATTCTGTCCTGTCCTCTGTCCGTCCATCTTTTGTCTGGAGCATATCTCTTAAAGTTTACTTGCTAGGTTCACCAAACATCACGCACATGTTAATCATTACCCATAGATGTGTCTTGTGCTATTTTGAAGTTGATCAGATTTGTATTATTCGCTGTTTCTATGGAAACACGACTTAGTGCGAAATATGTTTGATGGTTATCTTGTCCAGAGCATGCCACCGAAACTATTCATGCTTGGCTCACCAAACTTAATAGACCAGTTAATTATGACCAACAGATGTGCCTTTTAATCAGATATGTATTTTTTGCTGTTTCCATGGAAACATGACTTGGTGCAAAATATTTCTATAAGTTATTGATGTAATCAGTAAATGGCAACTATTATGTAACATGTATGGAGTCAAGGAGAAAGTCTTGTGAGCTGCTGATCCTTGTCACATTATATATATCAATATCAGTCATTTCCATGTCCGACAGTGGGAAGCAGGGTATGTGAGCTGTGCTCACTTCTGCACTTGTTTTCTTCAGTGCTTGAGAACGGTTCAAGAATCTGCATATAATGGTAGAGACCTATGCTCTGTTTTCACCTGTCCTGACTAAATGTCAAATAGGTATGAACAAAAGGAAACAGCTGTTTATGGTTCTCAGTTCTCGGTTTATCATAAATCATTTCACCTGAATACATCCATTGCTGTACAACCTGCACACGTCTTTTCGTGTATCTTGTGCATTTCATTCAGTGAACTGCTTAACATCGTTAGTTGAAATATTGAACTCGTCCACTGTGCTCAAGTAAGGTGTTTGCATTTACAAATTGGAAAGAACTTCCATTATCAGGACAAACTATACCAGGTGTGATAAAAACAGGTTAACATTCACACTTTCACAAGGCTTCAAGAACAGCTTCAAGAACAGTGTTTTCTGTCTAATTTGGGCTCATCAAATTTCAGACATTTATTTTGATATATTTATGTTGTTGAGAATGAGACACCTCATTTATGTCGTTGCTGTACCCCTTGTTTGTCCGTAGTTCACTGTTTTTGGTTTTTATTGCAGGCCGGAGAAACATGGAGACTGACGTGGTGAGAAGATGATCATCCTCAACTGGCATGTCTGTTCACATCCAAGGCAGACGTCAACTTGTGAACTGGTTCTGACTGTTTGCTGGACATAGACAGTTGCCCAGTTCTCAAGTAGACATGAGCGGTCAGCCATTACTGTTTCAATGGAAGCTCTGAAACTTTCACCTCACACTGCCTTTGTTATTCTTTTTTTCTTGTGTATACCTGGATATTATCCCAGAATTCTGGGCTGGTTTGCCTTGGAATTAACAGAAACATAGCCATCTTTGTGTGTCGTTAATGCCCATGAGATTTGATAAGTAATTTGCTTGGTATATATTCTGAGATTATTGTTTTCAGTATTTAGACGTGTAACATACACTAATAATTTAACCTGAACATTGTTTAGCAATCCTGTGTGTATGTTACAGAATGACTGTGTAAGATGACTGAGATATTCACGTAGGCAATTGAAAATATTTTTTTTTTGTGTTCTATTGTAATTTATATAACTAGTTAGTAATATAAGTTGTATGCTTCTCTAAGAGGGTAATACGGTCTGGTGTACTATTTTGTAGCAGTGTCACCTGAGCCAGTAGCAAGGATTACTGTCTCCCTCTGAGTTCTTTTTCGAACAATCTGACAGCTCTGTCAAAGCTCAAACTATCATCGAAAACTATCATTGTTTGCTTATAAAACTGATTTTATTAAACTGAATTCTGAGGGTCACCCATAAAACTTGCGTGTCAAGCTTGACTCGTATGGATAATATTTTGAGAGTCTTTATAAAATTAAGGCCAAATACGCAGGAGTCAAGCGTCCATGTAAAATCTGTATGTTATATGTAATGATATTGTTATGTTATGTCACTTTCTTACTGATGTATTGAAACTGGTTTACTGTTTCACTGTTTATTTTATGAATATACTTGTTTTTGTTTTTTCAAATTGTTATTGTCTGCACATCTTATGATTTACTAGTATATATAAAACATTTTAGCATTCCTAATCCATTGTCACTATCAACTTGACATGAATGTGTGTTCTAAGACAGATTGTTTAAAACTCTAGATGTTTGCAGGCAATGCTACCACATTGAGATGAATTTTCTCCCTCTAACCCTACCCTCTGACCCCACTTCCTCTGACCCCACCCACTGACCATAGCCACTGACCCTACTTTCACCTCCCCTCTACCTCTGACCCCACCCACTGACCATAGCCACTGACCCTACCTTTCTCACCCTCCTACCTTCTCACCCTACCTTCTCACCCTACCTCTGACCATAGCCACTGACCCTACTCTTTCTCACCCTACCTTCTCACCCTACCCCTCTGACCATAGCCACTGACCCTACCTTTCTCTCACCCCACCTTCTCTGACCCCAACCACTGACCCTAGCCACTGACCCTACTCTTCTCACCTCTACCCTCTGACCCCCACCCACTGGACTCCTAGCCACTGACCCTACCTTTCTCACTCCTACCCCTCTGACCCCCACCCACTGACCCCACCTTTCACCCTACCCCTGGCCTCCTACCCACTGACACCACCTACTGACCCTAACCACTGACCCTACCTTTTCTCACCCTACTCTCTCACCCTACCCCTTACCTCCTACTCCTCTCTGACCCTACCCACTGACTCCTAGCCACTGACCCCTACCTTTCTCACTCCTACTCCTCTGACCCCACACCCACTGGACCCTAGCCACTGACCCTACCTTTCTCACCCTACCCTCTGACCCCACCCACTGACTCCACCTTTCTCACCCTACCCCTTACTCCTACCCTCTGACCCTCACCCACTGACCCTAGCCACTGACCCTACCTTCCCACCCTACCCTCTGACCCCACCCACTGACCCTAGCCACTGACCCTACCTTCTCACCTCTACCCTCTGACCCCACCCACTGACCCCACCTTTCTCACCCTACCTACCCTCTGACCCCACCCACTGACCCCACCTTCTCTCACTCTACCCCTTACTCCTACCCTCTGACCCCACCCACTGACCCCTAGCCACTGACCCTACCTTCCCACCCTACCCCTCTGACCCCACCCACTGACCCTAGCCACTGACCCTACCTTTCTCACCCTACCCTCTGACCCCACCCACTGACCCCACCTTCTCACCCTACCTTCTCACCCTACCTTCTCACCCTACCCCCTGGCCCTACCCACTGACACCACCTACTGACCCTAGCCACTGACCCTACCTTCTCACCCTACCCTCTGACCCCACCCACTGACCCTAGCCACTGACCCTACCTTTCTCACCCTACCCTCTGACCCCACCCACTGACCCCACCTTCTCACCCTCTACCCCCTTACCCTACCTTCTGACACCACCTACTGACCCTAGCCACTGACCCTACCTTCTGACCCTACCCTCTGACCCCACCCACTGACCTCTACCTTCTCACCCTACCCCCTGGCCCTACCCACTGACTCTAACCTCTGACCCTAGCCACTGACCCTACCTTCTGACCCTACTCCTCTGACCCCCACCCACTGACCTCCCACCCACTGACCCTAACCTCTGACCCTAGCCAATGACCCTACCTTCTGACCCCACCCTCTGACCCCACCCACTGACCCTAACCTCTGACTCTACCCAATGTCCATACCCAGTCAGTACTGGTTGTCACTTAGTTTTTATATGTTGTTTTAACATGTTTGTTTGTGTGTTTTTATACTGTTCTACTCTTGTTTTGCTGTATTACGATAACATTGTGTATTTTCCAAATTGAGTTCCCTTGTAGTGAAAGTATTTTATACAAATGTTTACCGGTGTCGTCAGATCAGTATTAGTTATGCATGTGCCATAAAGCCATTTATATTTACCACCCGTGAAGACACGGACTAGATTTGGTCTTCAGCAACCCATGCTTGTCGTAAGAGGCGACTGACGGATCGGGTGGTCAGGCTCGCTGACTTGTTTGACACATGTCATCCTGTCCCAATTGAGTAGATCGATTCTCATGATGCTGATCACTGGATTGTCTGGTCCAGACTTGATAATTTACAGACTGCCGCCATATGGCTGGAATACTGCTGAGTGCGGCGTTAAACAACAAACAATCAATCAATCATTTATATTTACATGGTTTGCAGAATATTTCTGTCAAACTCAAAAGGAAACTAAGAAAATATAATCTGTTTAATATCTTAGAATCAGAGTGAATTACAGCGAATTGATAGAATGAATGAAAACAATGAACTACCCAGAATGTTCCTTGGATGACATGTTATAGAGTTACCTCCCTTCCCATGCGACGAAACCTTAGATTTCACATTTTTCATGGATAATATTTAATTTAATACCATGTACCGATATGACCATTGATGTGTTGAAATACCTGGATCGTATTTAATACCATGTACCAATATACTCATTGAAATACCATGACAATTTGAATAACATGTACCAATTGGTTCTGATGTTTTAAGTCTTATCGAGGTTGTTTTTTTTGGTACCAGTTTAAGTCTTTGTAAATGCCTGGCTTCTAATAAAAACAAAAGATTACAAATCAGTCCTGGGTTGATTATGTATTTTAGTGAGTTATAACTTGCTCCATGTAGTCACTCACTCACTCACACTCACAGACTCAGACAGACTCACTCACACTCAAAGACTCACTCACACTCACTCACACTCAGACTCACACTCACAGACTCACTCACAATCACAGACTCACTCACACTCACAGACTCACACTCACAGACTCACTCATGCTCAGACTCACGCTCACGGATTCACTCTAGTCTCTCGTACAGACCCTGAAGCAAATATATCCAAGAAAGCCCACACAAGTCTAGAAAATGTGGCAAGTCTAGATTTCCTCAGCTTCATAACTAACTGACATATACATGAAGAGTATTTTGCAATTGCGGGGGATATTGATGACTTTTTCTGCTTGTTACATTATATATATGCGACATCAATTAAACTTCCGCATATAGTGAAGACACAACCTTTGGATTTTGGAGAATATAAATAACTTTGGATTATTTTTTTTTGAGATCCATTTGTCCAGCCTAGGAATATCCAGAGATGCTACCCTTAGCTGGTATCCCTGCTTGCTCTCAAAATAGATTTGGCGACACTTGATACTCATTACCCCAAACTGGCCCACACCACTGGCAGTAGGACCGAGAGGCGGTGGGGGCAGTAAATATTCCTGTCACACACAATTAAAGCAGTAACGGGTGATAAGAATCTTTGCATGTGTTGTGAAATTCCAAGAAATTATCCCTCTGCAGATTTGTTTAGTCTCTGAAAATGAAGAAAGTCTCAGGGCTCCTTTTCATTATATATTTTTTTTTCACTATGAACTGTTTTCAGTAAAATATGTTCATTTCAGAGACTAGTTGTTAGTCTAGGATTCACTCACGCTCACAGACTCACTCACGCTCACAGACTCGCACTCACAGACTCACTCACACTCACACTCACTCACGCTCACAGACTCACACACGATCACAGGCTCAGACACACTCACAGACTCACACTCACAGACTCACACTCACTCACACTCACAGACTCGCACTCAATCACACTCAATCACTCACAGACTCACTTACTCACTCACAGACTCACTGTACCCCAGTATCCTTTGTGTTTTCACCTTGGATGTGATGTGCAATGTACCACTGACCTTAAAATCCTTCTCCTTGTGACAACACAACTCTGGTTCCACTCGAAATATATAAACAGAGACATCTGGAACTTAGTTCAAACAAAATCCTTCAAAAATATTAGAATCCTGGTCTTAGTTCCTTGTAATTGAGGTTTCTGATCATGTCCCTATTAAATTAAATCCATTCATAATGGCTGAAACAATTTCTGGAAATTGGTATTACGTGCTAACGCCGTCGGTTTTAAACTAAATTTGCCTATGTTGAATTCCAATGAATCCCGGAAATTGAACAAACCAAACTATTTATCTTCTAATTCAACAATTAATCCATTAAACAATTCAACACTATTAATCCATTAAACAATTCAACACTATTAATCCATTAAACAATTGAACACTCTTAATCCATTAAACAATTCAACACTATTAATCCATTAAACAATTCAACACTATTAATCCATTAAAGAATCCAACACTATTAATCCATTAAACAATTCACCACTATTAATCCATTAAACAATTCACCACTGTTAATCCATTAAACAATTCACCACTGTTAATCCATTAAACAATTCAACACTATTAATCCATTAAAGAATCCAACACTATTAATCCTTTAACAATTCAACACCATTAATCCATTAAACAGTTCAACACTATGAATCCATTTAACAATTCAACACTATTAGTCCATTAACAATTCAACACTATTAATCCCTTAACAATTCAACACTATTAATCCCTTTAGAATTCAGCACAATTAATCCATGAACACTTCAACACTATTAATCTCTTAAGAATTCAACACTATTAATCGATTAACAATTCAACACTATTAATCCATTAAACAATTCAACACTATT